ATAACATTAAGGTGGATTATTGCTCTCATTAACACATCTTAGAGGAGAAAATGTTTAATTTTCCTGAGATACATAATTGTTGGTGATACCGCGTGCCATGGAGTCATTTCCAATTCACAGGGACCATGTATGGCAGAGTAGAACTGCCCATAAAGAGGTTTCGAGACTGTAATCGTGACAGGAGCAGGATCGCCAGACCTTACCAAGGAACTGCTGCTGGGTTCAAACCACTGACCTTACTATGGTTGATAGCCATGTGCTCAACTCTTGCACAATCAGGGTTTCCTTACACTGTAACTGCTGTTGTTGTTGTGTGCTTAGATTCATAGCGACCCTGCGCACAACAGAACGAAATGCTGCCCCATCCTGCACTGTCTTCACAATTGTGACACTTGAGCTCCTTGCTGCTGCCGCTGTCCCAGTCCATCTTGTGGGGGGTCTTCAAGTGATAAAGTCTCATTGAAAATACAGTTTCACTAAAGCAGACACTCAACAGGGCCTGGTTGTTCTGTACTGCATTGTAGTCTACTTGTATAAAAGTAGGATGGATTTATACTTGGATGGTAATAATAATATTAATTCAAATATATATACAGTACTGGTCCTTGCATCCTAAAAAGAATACTGAAATCAGAAAACATCAGAAAAAGCATTAAAAAATAAAGGGGTAGATTGGTAGGAGAGGATCTTAAAAAGGAGAAACAAGAATTATGAAATTTTTATTCAAATATACAAGAGTGTTATGATGCTAGAAGATACAGACTAGTTGTAAGCCTCCAGAAGAGACACACTCCACTGCCATTGAGTTGGTTCTGACTCAAAGCAATCTGATGTAGGGTTTTCAAGACTGTAAATCTTTATAGGAGCAGACAACCTCAGATTTCTCTTGCAGAGTGGTTGCTGGGTTTGAACTGCTGATCTTGTAGTTAGCAAATCAACACCAAACCTACAATGCCACTAGGGCTCCTCCTTAGAAGAGACACAAAGGAGTGTGAACTTCAGTTTAATCATGCATGTTCAAGTAGATGGAAGAATGGGCTGCTGTGTGGATGATTAAATGCCACAAGCCAGCAGAACTGGTCATAGAATTAGCATATGGTTTACATTTGACATTAATAAATCCTAATGTTTGGATGGAAGGAGCTCTAGTAGCGTAGTGGTTACGAATCAGGCTGCGAACCTCAGGGTCAGCAGTTTGAAAATACCAGCTATTCTGTGGGAGAAAGATGAGGCTTTCTGTTCCCGTAAAGATTTAGAGCCTCTGAACCCCTATGCAGGGGTCGCTATGAGTCGGAACCGACTCCACAGCACATAACAACAGCAGTGTTTGGATGGGGAGCATTGTAGGTTAAGCGCTAGACTCAAACCCACCAGTCTCGGAAACCCTATGTTGTTGTTAAGTGCCTTTTGAGTAGATTTCCGACTCACAGCAACCCTGTGTAGGGTTTCCAAGAAGTGGCTGGTGAGCTTGAACCACCAACCTTGTGGTTTAGACCAACCTTGCAGTCCAGCGCATTAACCCACAGTACCACACCAGGACTCTCAGAAACCCTATAGAGGTTCGCTATGACTCAGAACTGACTCGACAGCAGTTAACAACAATGGATGTTTTCTATGTGTCAGGTACTCTACATTAAGGGCTTTTACCTGTATTATTTAACCCTTAAAGTAACTGCATAACATGGACTCTGTTAATATATCATGTTCAGGTCAGAAAACAGATGAGGGGTGGCAGTGAAGTGTTCAGAGTTACACAGTAGATGAAGGAGCCAGACCCAGAAGTCTGAGCCCACAACCAGAAGCATTCTTCCATAGCATGGTTCAGGTGCTCATCACCTGCAGCTAAAGAGCTGACAGGTAACTTCTCGGCTCTCAGCTGTGGTAATAATAAAACTTTGAAGTTGGCAGTTCTTAACATTTTTTCCTCCCACTTCACATTAAAACAGGTGTGTATATATATGTGTAAGGAGCTCTGATAGCGTAGTGGTTATGAATCGGGCTGCAAACCACAAAGTCAGTCAAAACTTTCATCTGTTCCGCGGGAGAAAAATGAGGCTTTCTGCTCCCATAGAGATTTACAGCCTCAGAAACCCTGTACAGGGTCACTATGGGTTGAAACCGACTCCACGGCACATAACCACCACCATGTATATATATGTGTGTGTGTGTGTATGTTTTGTACTATTGTTAACCAATTGATAATTTTTCTTTTTTCTTTAAGCCTCTCTATGGATTACTTCAAGCAAAACTTCAACTCATTACACATGCATATTTTGAAGAAAAGGATTTTTCCCAAATTTCTATTCTAAAGGTAACTTTATACCTCTGTGAGATGTTTGCCTGAAGTCAGATTCAAGAAGCAAGTAGATCAGTAACATTGTGAGGGGTGACCACTTTTTAGCTAAGAAAGACAATTTGCTTTGTTATGAGGATTCAGATGACAGTTATACTATAATTGCCTTTTATTGGGGAAGAATAACTAAAAGTTGCTGTAACATAAATGTTCACTCTGATGGGTTAGAGCCTTTTCTCTGTGGTGTTGCTTCTGTAAATTTGTTTATCTCGCTAATAAATTGTATAATATGTTTACATATCAGGCTTCTGGTTTCCAGCTTCCACAGTAAAACCATATAAACCACTTTACTATTTTATTTTAAATGGGTAACATGGTTTTTGAAGGCTACCTGAGTGTACATGTTAACAGGAACCTCTCCAGGATTCTGTTCTGAACTTAGTGACAGACACATATTTAGCAAGGAGGCACGGTTTATCTTAGAATTCCATACCACCATTAAAATGAATAAAGTCTCAGCTGTCAGGTAGAGAAGGGTCACTTTGGGTAGCTCATCACAGTCTCTTCTCTCTCTTTTCTGATTCGGCTCATGTTTGGGAGAGAAGGGGTGAGTGTGGGAAGCAGTTGGGGTCACAGAGCGACCTAAGTGTAGAGACTAGCAAAACAGATTGCCTCCCCTAAGGAACCAACTTATTTTCTGATCTTCATATGCCGTGTTCAGGTCAGAAAACTGATGCGGGGTGGTGGTTCATTCATTATCTGAAGTGATATAAATGTTCTAAACAGAATTATTTCACAGGAGCTTTACGAGCATATGAATAGCTCCTTGGGAGGAAGTTCATTAGAAGGATCCCAGGTATACCTTGGTAAGTTTTCTCTGTTTTGTTTTGTTTTTTACCAGTCACAAGAGATACCCTGTTTTCTTATTGTTTGATTAACTGAATTGCACATAACACTTCGTGATCAGAATTGCATCAATATATGGAATCTAAATTCTTCAAGGTTTTGTGTGGCTATTATCCTTAAGAACTTTAAAACCTACATTTTATATCATGACATAAGTCAATGTATAGAAAACTTTCAATTAAATAATCTTAGCCAGTGTTTATGTTGAAGAGTTCTCATAGTATACTTGTACTGTTATAGCAGTTTTACAGCTATTCTACAAAGAGAATTTCTACTTTCAGAGTAGTTGTTTTAGGTACATTAATGCTGGGCACCTAAATTTTATGTTGTTAAGTGCTGTTGAGTCAGTTCCAACTCATAGCAACCCTGCATAGGCTTTTCAAGGCTGTAAATCTTCACAGAAGCAGAGAGCCTCATCTTTCTCCTTTGGAACGAATGATAGATTTGAACTACTTACCTTGTGGTTAGCAGCCTAGCTCATAATCCATTGCTCTACCAGCACAGTGACCAAAAATCCAGATTTAAATGCCTGACTGCTTTTTTTTTTCTTTTTTAATGTTTTATTGTGAGTTATATGATAGTTTACATGGGAGAACATTAGTTTTACAATTCATTCTTTCATATATCATTTCATTGCCATGGTTACAATCCCTCCATGAATCATCAACCAACCAAAGGGTATACCCTGCAAGCCTGCCCCCCACACCCCTCACCTGGTTTTCAGCACATAGTCCCTCTCCCTTTCTGGTTCTAAAGTCCCCAGCTGTTCCATCTCTCCATATCATTGTCTTTGCCTCCATCTCAGGCATCACTGCTTCTCTGGGTAGGGTTCCGCTTTCCGCTTTTCTCCGTTAATGGTTCTAGGGACCTCCGTACCTAGACTGGAAAGTTAATCACTCCCTTCCTTGCTGTAAAACGTCTACCTTTACATTTCCAACCCTCACAATTGGCCTGACTGCTTTTGTATTTATAAATATTTGTTAATTGTTGTTGAGTCGGTTATAACAACCCTGTATAGGGTTTCCGAGGAATGACTGCCTAGTGGGTGAGCGTGACTCACCGACCTTGTGATTCAAACTGACTTTGCAGTCCAGCGCATTAACCCACAGCGCCACATCAGGTCTCTTTCTCTCAATAAATATAGAGAGAGTCATTTCCAAACTTCTGCAAGTTCTGAGATGTTTATAGAATGAGGTGAAGATGTTAGGTTTGCATTGCCCAAAGCAGTAACCACTAGCCATGTATGGTTATTTACATTTACAATAAAATTAATAAAATCTAAAATTCAGTTTGTCAGTAGAACTTGCCACATTTCAAGTACTCAGTAGCCACATATGGTACTATTGAACAGCACAAATATATTTGTATATGCTTACTTTTTTTAAGCTGATTTTCTTTTGAAGGGAAAGAAAAGCTTTCTTCAACAAAAACAATAGATTATATTTTCTGATGGACTTTTTTGTTAATATTATAGGTCTGTCACCTCGAGATCTTATCCTTCATTTTCGACACAAGGTAAGATATCTTATTTGAGTTACGATTATTAAAGTGGTACGTGATGTTCTTGGTGTTGATTAAACTGGGAAGAGTCCATGTATTGTGTGCTTGAATACAGGTGTTTTAGTACTTCTCAGTCTCATCGTAACTACAAAGTTGACAGTGCCATTGGTACTATTTGTGTAATTACTAAAGGATTATAGATACTATTTTTTTATTTGTTTAATAGGGTATTTTTTCTAGTTGTCTTTATAATTTCAGATATCATGAGATTAGAATGGATATAAACAGGC